TCCCCCCACTTCCATCCATTCCACAAAAGACGGATATACAGAGACTTAGGTGGCTTTCCGAAATTCAAGTACGCCGATAAGAGGAACGGCATGCCGCACATTTCATTCTCGAATTCTCGCATTTTTCTCTCCCGCCCTTTCTCTTATTCCTCAGGAGCGATTTTCAAGGAAAAGAATACCTAGGGATTGAGCAAGAGAGAGGCAGATGCCATAATTGTTATTCTCCTTTTCAGTACCTGACTCGATGTGAAAATTTTCAATTTAGAATTTTTAACGCAATTACCTTACATTGCAATATACTATAATCACACGGCGGGATTGCTTTATATTTAATTTCATAAATAGAGAAAAGGTAATCACAGTTGACACAATAATCTGGACATGTGTGTTCTTATCTGATACATTTATTTAACAATTATTTCCCGCAGCTGTTCAGTCGAATCTTTAAAATTATTCACTTGAATTGTCGCGTTCTAAACGAAACGTTTGACCGGTGGGTGTTAAAAGTGAAAAAGCAAATTGTTCGGCGAAGCTCGTCTATTTGGCCGTCGCGCCAGACGGCGGCGCACAGCCTCCCATTGCTGCATCCTCGTTCCTCGTCTTCCAGCCTCCTTCGCCCTTTGCCCCCTTGCCATTCCGAGTGCCGCACCGCGAAGAGATCTCTCGATTGGGCTCCTCTCGAGGAGCTTTGAAGAATTGATGGGCCAAGAGAAGGGGGAGGAGGAGGAGGAGGAGGAGGAGGAGGAGTGAGAAGAGGGAGGGAAGCACTTTTGCAGGTCGGCCGTGGTTCGAAATAGCAAGACATCTTAACGAATGCCCGGGGCCATATTTTTCCGACATAAAGTGATAAGAAAAGTTGCGCGTTCTTGGCGGGCAGTGTCAGTGGATTTTGTTCGCGATACCGAACTGTGCCGAACCGCCGGGGAATCAGCCAGCCAACCAGCCAGCCAACCAACCAGCCAACCAGCCAGCCAACCAACCAGCCAACCAGCCAACCAGCCAGCCGGAATCGCAACTCGCACGTTGCGAACTTTATCTCGCGACAACGTTTTGTTTCTGTTTCTGCTTCCGGTTATTTGTTATTGCGCCGGAACTGCCCGCGTAATGAAATATACGAAAGAGAGCGGAGTCGCCTCGAACTAAGCTACGCGGTACACGCCATAGCTATAGACTATATGATCGCCCGAGTCGTTTCCACCTTCCACCCATTTCTATCCGACTTCCCTAACCCTTTTTCATGCTGCCTCCCCTCTCTCTCCTCTTAGTCAGTAATTCATAACACGATTCTATCCCCTAGGAAATATTGCGATCCCGCGCGCTGTTAACAATGCACCTCGTCTTTTTCGGTTCCCTACCTCAAATGGTTGTAAATCCATTATACCCAGTTTTAACGAGCCATCGCAAATCTAAAGGGGTGCTCTACCCGTCCGGAACATCCAGCCAAGAGCAGAATGAGAGTAGAACGGGGAGTGAGACAGGAAAACAGGGAGTCAGGGACGAAGCGCACGTTGCAAGAGCGTGCCACACCATAAATCAATGGAAACACAATTTCACGGAAGTCTACGATAGCACCAGCCATCGATTCCTCTCCAATTAATCGACTGCTCCCTTCCTCTTGGAAAGGACGCTACTCTTGATTCTCTGTTACCAGCACCACCAACGCCGCCACTACCATTGGCTAACCAACCCGTTCCGCCATTCGAAGAATTTACTCGTGTGGCAAGCGTGGTGATATATTCCTGAGGATGATGGTGTCGGCTCACTGCTGCTGTTGCTGCTACCTGCTCGATACTACTGCTACTGCCTGCTACTGCCTGCTACTGCCTGCTACTGCCTTACTCACAATCAGTGCAGAGAAAAAGCGTAGATTCTCACTGATCCTATATGAATGCGATATTCGGATTGCGGAAGACATCTTAGACATTGCAAGTGCTAGTAGAATGAAACTGGTAAATGTGCAGAAGAATACCGTGCCGCAAGTGGGACTGTGGAAACGAAAAGATGAAAGTTGAAAGGTATAGACGGGGGGATGCAGAATGCTGACTGGTGGCATCCCCCTGTGGTTGCCACCAGCCAGTCTCGAAGAGGACTCTGAACCAATCAAATAAAACATGAACGAGGGCCAGGCAAGATATTGAAAGCAAAAGAGGCAAGCAAAGCCAACTAGCATCACGGCTCAAAGGGGTTTGTGAAAATAGCCGGGTGTCGTCAAACATCGAGCTTTTTATCTCGTTTCGTTTACACGTTTAGCCAGGGTACATCGCCGAGGGATACTGCTGGCCAACAAATTCTAACGCCACCCACCCCACATGCCCTGCGGCACTACAGCTAGTTGGGTGCTACTATAACTCGCATTGCACCTGATTGCGTATATATTTGCGAATATTTAAATTACTACGTAAACATAATTAAACCTCGAATAGACGACTTATTAAAAAGATTTTACTTTTTCTTTTTTCACTGTACCAGACAAGGATGCTTTTTCACGAACAGCAAGCAACTGGTTTTAGCAGCAGGAGAAACGTGCTGATTGGTTGCTTTCACCAAATGTGACCCCATGAGCAGAATCAAACAATCAGCGCGTTTCTTATACTGCTGAAACCATTAGGTTTGCTGCTCGTGAAAAGACACCCTAACAGTTCTGTATTCGCCAGCATATTAAAAGCTAAAAACAAGCCAGGTACCTTAATTCGCAAATGCGCCCATTTCCTCTTGGACTCCATTATTCGATACATTCGTGATTGACTTCGTATTATTCAGATTCTAGTAAGCCGAACTTATGGTTCATATCAGTTCACATCAGTTGTTTTACTCCTTTGCTCACATTTACAGAATAACCATAATTACCTGCGTAAGGTGACATATAAGACATCACTTTTAGTAATATGTAATTAGTATACTTAGAAAACCAATTAAAAAATTACAGTTCCAGATGAAATATCGGTCTCTGTTTGACTCTATCGGCTAATTTCTGTTCATGTTGACCATGAAGATGCTCGGGCGATTGCCTAGCGAAGTGCAATACACACATGCATGTTGAGTTGACAACTGTAGATGCCTGGGGTGCGTTCAGAAATCTTACTCACATCAGGGTAATTTGAGCACGTTGTGTCTCTTTCTATTATAGTTATTATGAAGAGGATAGAATGATACCAGACTCGACCCTAGAGAGGTTTCTGAACGTATCCCTTAGAGTCATGATCAACAACCAATCAGAACCAGTAGAGTTCCTATGCCAGCTGATAGCTGCGTTTTGCACCCACACCAAACCATACAAGCCAATAGAGTCGCTTGATGCTTGAGCTTTGTTAAGTGGCGCTAAGATGGCGAGTTGGTAGTATGCCGATTTCGATGTATTTTGTACTAAAATGTTAATTTTTATTGGTTTGATTGATCTTAAAATCATGCTTTATGAATCACCGCATTAAGACTTCATACGTGTAACAGTTAAAATATTAAAAAATCTGTGAAATAGCGTTTTTTTACTGTGGTGCTCCCAAGCTTATTAATTCGTGTCCTACTAGAAATAGGATATTTTGTGAATGCGTAAATGAAAATAAAGTAAACTGTACAGGAAAGTAATGGAGTTAGATAAACTGTGCAGATTATGCCTTTCTAAATGGGATCTACAGTGTAGCATATATTTAGATATGCTAAAACCTGACAGTTTGTATCACTCCATTTTAAAGAATGTTGATATAAAGGTGAGAGTAAAGTATTCTATAGTTTATATGAACAGAAACACGTTTCATGCATATTATAATTGCATTCTTGCAGATTGAGAACCATTGTGGATGGCCCTACTTAATATGTCGATCGTGTTGGACTATCATTAAAGCTATGAATTCATTCCGTAATATGGTAACTTCAAGTGATATTAGATTGCGATCATACCTGAAGAAAATTGAACCAGATTTGTACCCTGTATGCATGTTTAATTTGTTAGGATATAAGTGTAGCTACATTTTAAATTATACCATGCTAATATCTTTTTTAGGCTGAGGAATTGGATTTCCATCCTCCACCATTAACTTCGACTGTGATCCTCCCAAAATTAGACTTTGCAAAGTTATGTACCTTCATATCTAAATCAACAAATAGTGCCTGTGACAATTGCGAGGCAGATGGGACTAATTTATCTGTGGAAGAAATTGACAGATCTAGGATAAAAAAAAAACCTCAATCTTCTAATGACCATGTGACAAGCGCTCAGTCTGCTGGAGACAAAAGTATAAAAGCCAGCATAAGGAGTGACATTCAAATTCCAAGAGCAAAGGTCGAAATCCTTGAGTCACAAAATAAAAAGTTATTAATAATTTTTGATAAACGTGAAGACATTTTTACGATATTGCCTTCACTGGTAAATTCAAATCCCCTCCTGTTTCAACCTAATTTATTGACCAGAACTCGTAGAGAATTCAATGAACTGATATGCAGAGGCATCAATCCATTTGACACTACAGAAACAACATGTTTGAAAACAAGCATCGATATTCAACATTCATGTGAAGAATCTTTTGAATTACATCAAATAACACCATCTCTAGTAATTGCTTCAAATGAACTATCTGGCACGGATCTGGCGACTTCAAAACGAGTTGATAATATTTTAAACTCAGATTCCCATTTTCATAAAGATTTGTCCAATATGGAACAAAATATAACAGCTGCATTAAAATATCAACAAATTTCTACCCAATCCAAATTGAATAGCAAATCTGAACTGAGTTCTGCTGAGAATAGGGCTGTTGCACAAGAGTCATTTGATTGCACTGAAGTTAGAATCAAAGAGGAATTAGATTTGAATGATGTAACTGATGGTAACAATTATGAAGAAGGTAAGAAATATTTTGAGATGGCAGACATTGATGATGTATCGGAAAAGAAAGGCGTTGAAGTTGAAGAACAAGTATCTCCTTTGCCATGTGTAATAGACGGAAACGAAAAATCATCTGTTGAATACGGCAATACATATAAGTCGAGAGTACAGTCTAAGCAAATGAGCACACAACAGACTCCTAAGTATAAATCCATGAAAACACGTAAAAGTGAAAGCAGCGAAGTAAAAGATACAAATGAGAATGACGAGCCTCAAAGTACGTCCAGCGGAACTTTTAAAAAAGTTCGGCTTTGGAATAAAAGTCTGGAAATGAGCATTGAAAAGGAAAGTAATATCTTGCAAAATTATCTCAAAGTACGTGCCGCTTATAGGAGGTTTTACCTCTGCATTCATTGCAATAAACTCTATTATGAGGTAAAAACTCTTCACGAACATGTACGATCTCTGTATCGCGTTGGAGCGTTTTGTCCTATTGGAGAATGTACCTACGTTATGCTGGAAGAAGTCGAGTACTTGAGGCACATTCGTGCGCACTATAACACAGCATTAATATCCAATTGCTCGAAAACTTCTATAATCAGAAGACCCACCGGCTCGTGTCAGGAACTCAACAGCAAGAAATACCTGACTGAATTTATAAAGAAAAATGTAATTGGCGAAATGAGTTCCGTTGCAACAAAATTCAAAGAAGTAGTAGAATCCAAAGAAAAAACAACTGTTTTAAAAGAGAGGAAGGTACATCAGTCACCCCCAAGGAAAAAATTGAGAACTTATGATTTGGAAGAAAATTCTGATGAGAGTAATGCTCACACGATAAATAAGGGAAGTATAATCAAACCAAGTGAACAAGCAGCGCACAATTCCAAATACGTTTCGGTACCACCGGACAAGAGTTCCAAATCTGTAAGAAATATTCCTGCAAATACGGGATATGATACGAGAACGAACAGTAATAAATCTATCACTGGAATAACAAAGGACGATTCATCGATGCATCAAGTAGTCAAGTATAACAACGTTGACTCGAGAAATGTACGAGATCCATCGTGTGACAATCTTGCGGAGAATGTTGATGCTAAGAACAACTGAAAACAGTCGATGGAAAATCAAAATGCGAGAAAACGGTCTCGATCGAAGCTTGAAGAAGCGAAAAAAAAAATGCTGAGTGTATGCCAATAGAGGAAAAAGCTAATTTTAAAGAAAAAGATATATGTAAAATTCAGAGTATATTGGCCGAAATTAACGTAGACCACAGGAAATCTCTTATTCGTATAAATAACAAAATCGATGGGACAACAAAATTGGATGTGTGTGTAACGAAGTAAGGGAAAGAATATGCAAATACAAATCCTGAAAAAAGTACTTTGAATAAAAATATATGAACATAATGACAAATTGTTGGATCGCTATTTATCTTTTTTTTTAATAAGAATACATTAATTTGTTCGTTAACAATGAGAAAGTACAATTAGCCCAATGACCGTTTAGTGGTAAATATCATTACACCTGACTCATTTTTAACTGTGTAATAGTTTTCTTACGATATTGAGTAGTAAACGGATTATTCCAAATGTTTTAAGAGACTATTTTTTTCTTGATATATACCTAAAATCATTGATCCATAATTACGTCTTAATGTACAACACACTTGCAAGACAATTGTAACGCATTCTGTCTTTGTCGTTAAACATTGAGTTTCAATCATTCCAGATACGAAATTTAACTTGGATACTTACGCAAGAGAAGACTGAACTCAGTTCAGCAAGAATGTATAACGAATCGTTAAATCAGCACTATTTTAATGACCTCGTACAGTTTTCATGGCGCTGCAAGAAAGTGAAGTCGTTTTAATCACAGGTGCGATATTGGAATAGAAATAGTTTTACACGATTAACATCTAATTGTTAAATATTTAACTTAATTCGAAATTAAGCTTCGATCATATCGATGACAGGATAGACTAGTGCACGTCACTTATAAAATATCCATTTGTATCGAAGGAGCCAGTGGATTCCTGGCCGGGCATCTATTGAAACTTCTCGAGAAGGATAAGAGCGTCCGAGAGATCAGAGGGTTGGATATCGTTCCAAGAAAAATGCCGTTTTCTGGAAGAAAATCAGTTAAGCTTTTTCAAAGAGACCTTACCAACCCGGAATCCTGCCGCGAAATTGTCAGAGGAGTTGACGTAGTGTTCCACTGTGCAGCATACGTCTCTTATGAATTTCCCGTGGACAAGGATCAGCTACACAAGAACAATGTGCTAGGTTTGTCCAGATAGTGTGTTTGAGATGTCAAAACTAAAAGATAGGATGAGACTAAACGGTTTAGTGTTCGCAGCTACGGAAAACCTGATAAATCTCTGCCTCGAGGAATCTGTACCTCGTATAGTACATTGCAGCTCGAGTGAAGTCACTCTTCAATCTTATATAAAAGGTGGTATTGTCGCTCTAGTAATCTACAGTCAGGAATCAAAAATGAAGATTCCCAATGATGAAAATAGATTGATTTTTGGTGAATACGCCGCTTCGAAGTTACGTGCGGAGAAGCTGATATTGGATGCTGATGGAAGTAACATGAAAAACGGTCAGTAGCAAATAAAAACTACGCCTGATCCGATACGAGGAATCATTAACACATTTGAAACAGGTCTTGGCACTCTTCGCACAACATCATTGAGGCCGACTTTACTCTACGGCGAAGAGGATTCAAAATTAGTTTCAAATATTTTAATGATTGCAAAAAAGGGAAATTACTCTCTAGTAAGACCCGCCGGTGCGGGCGGTAAGCAGCAATTGACGTACGCTGGTAAAGAAAAAGAGTTCTATTATTCAAAACGTATCAGTAAAATGAAAAAAAAAAAGTAGAATGGAATACTATTATTACTCTGTTATCTTTAGGAAACGCCGCATGGGCTTTAATTTGTGCGAAAAAGACTCTAAAAGAACAGCCTGAAGCGATCGGAGGACTTCCAGTGACAATCACCGATGACACTCCAGTGGAAGATATGCTCCGTTTTTGCGAAAGAATCACCAGAGGTTCTAGGCATCAGATTAAGTTCTCCTGGACTATTCCGATGTGGATCTCCTATACATTGGCCTTCATGATGGAGTTAGCTACGACTTACTTCAATTACTTCAAGAAAATGCCAGTATGTATCTACTGTGCTTGCTTGCTTTCCATTGTGATTCTTACGAATTCATGTGTTTAATTCTCTTTAAGGTTTTGCCTCGAGGCATAATTTCCTATTTAGGATCCGTTATATTGTACAACAGGATTCGCGCATCTATTTACATGGATTATTCGCCGATCTTTTCAGCCGATGAAGCTTTTCTGGCATCGTCGATTTACTACTGCCAGTTCCTTGATAATATCGAATGATTTGTCAAGAGGAGACGATTTGAGCCATCCAATGAAGAATGTGAAAACTCTGATGCAATAAACTCATTTTTTCTATTTTTCATGATTGTGATTTTCATAAGTTTGTTTTGGAAAAACCCACTAGGCAAAAATCTACAGCGCTGTTGGTAACTGTCTGGTCGCGAATAGTAGACATAAAAATGATACATGTATTAATAAGTGATCTAATAAAGGAAATCTAAAAGAAAAAATGTTTAAAAAAGCGACTTTAACGTGCAATTTCTATTGCTTGGAAAAATGTTCCGTTGAACGATAATAACAAGTAGTTAAGTTTTTGATGAATCTAATTAATCATTATGGTTAAGACTTTATGTATAAAGAAGAATCAGAGAGAGAGAGAGAGAAGAGAAAGTTCATAGGAATAAAATGAAAAGTAACTTACAGCACTTTAAAACAGAGCGACTTCACAATGACATCAACATATCTATCTTTATTGTCGAATTATACAATTGTCTTGACCTAGTAACTAAAAAATATTAGAAAAGAAAACAGTCACTCACCAAGGAAGGCTTTTCAATTTCGAATATCTGCATAGAACGCAGTTACGTCATGCCCTTCGAATGTAACTACAGATGCCGCTTGTACAAGATAATTATTTTGAAGGCAGCTGTTAGGTCGAGATGCATTACAACACATCGGAACGTTTCGATATCAAATGCGGTACAATGTGATGATAACAAACGCTCTCAGTGCGGACCAGTCGTCGAATCCAGATAGCTAAAAAATATTTCACTAAACGATGCACGGAAATTTGACACTTAGTGACATCAACTGCTGTTCGTCCCGTATTATAAATAATTAAATTCTTGTAGAACGCAGTGTTAAAACGTACGCATTATGAACACGATTAATTAGCACAAATAACGACAATAACGATTACAATTAGTAATAATACTATTTACAAAAATCCGTCTCATAGGAGTATATGGCCTTGCGCTCTTTTCACTCTGACAGAATCCGAACTCGTTATTCGATTCACCAACATGATACATTCCGGTCAATATATTTTAGGGCACATATTTAATTTAGTTGACTACAAGATTTCTCGGATTTACAACAACGGTCAGTTAATTCTAGTTTTAAAAGGTTAACATTCATAAATAAGAAATACTGCAGGAAAAAAACGTTGATCTAGGCACGTAAACAATTGGCGAAGTACTTGTCAAGTTTCTCGTTTTTTGATGGTTCGATAGAACGGAAATTTCGCAAGTTCTGGTAACCATTGCGTTGTACTTTTTTTCGTCCTTAAATACACACCATCGCCATCTTTCAGATTATCCATTTTTCGATACTACTTGTCGCCTTAAACTACAAAAATGCTATCCATACGCTAACAACAATTCTTTTTTAAAATAAATTATGAATTACCATACATCTACGGTTAACACCATCAAAATTCCGGACTAAATGGCACCATGTATTACGAGCATTCAAAATTGAACGTTTCTTGCAACAGAAAAGGAAAGGAAAAAAATTGGGATAAAAGTTTCCCGCCAATATTAAGTGAACCATTTGACCTAATGTGCTCAATACACAAAACTTGCACATAATTTTAATCAAGCGCAGTTTTTGATCAAAACTAGGAAACTTGCCGTTTATAAACAGACCCGAAATGTAAATGACTAAAAAAAATAGGCTGAATGTCAGAGAAATACATCGTTTTACAGAGAATTAAGTATTTTCGCTTTCAATTGAATAAATTCTCCATGAGATGCATCAATTTCACGAAACTTGGATTCTTAATCCATTGCTGAAGGAACGCGCGATCCGACAGTGAAGTCTTTATATTGCGAGAACACGCAGATCTGCATTGAAACGAAAGTAGATATTAATATTATTTGTTATCGAAGATCTAACTCATAGCAGGATTAGAAATTAGGGGAGGATATCCCACCTTATCTTTTAACCTCTGACATAGCTGTAAAGATATGGTAAGCAAGACTAGAGCGTCATTTAGCCAAGGCACACTGCATTCCGCCTGATGAGTTTCGTATTTCACACTTCCATGTGAGTTTTCCAGCTGATAAACGGCCAATACCAATTTATAACTCTGAATGTAAAAACTGATTGCTAAATTGTCAGGTAGGTTTGGATTTAATGATTTCTGAAATGAAAAAAATGCATGAAATGATCTTTCACATCCACAATTGATATTAATTATTGATGTGCAGATATAATTGATATGACCTACCATGTTACGACTTTTGATCAGGTCGTCTATAGTTTTTTTTCTAGGAACAATTAAGCTTGTTCTACTGCGTTGGAGACAACCTAGAATATTTCCCAGAACATGCATGACCTCGTCAGAAGTTTTAAAGAGGTAGTGACGATCAACATTGTCAATATGAGCAATGGCTTGCTGCAAATGATTTGCAGCATCCTGAATTTGCTGAAGCTTCCAAGGATGGTCGTTCTGTATACTAGTTCGCATTGTGGTATTCTGCTGACGTTGTATTTTAAAATTTACTTCCTACAAATTACAAAAAATTCAAAAACTTATGAAAAATTATACTTTCAAAGCATTGAAAAATTGAACTTACTGCATTAGTAATGCTATCCCCTGTAAGAACAATTACACATTTGACCTGGTCGTGGGGAGCAGTGAAAACAAACCTGTCTGTTTTATTCTGCTGATCGTTTCCAAATAAGGTCAAAGGAAAACGTTGGGCACACTCCTAGAGAAAAACCAACTGTAAATAATACCAACATCACTTGTTTAAAAAGATAATGTATTTGCATACTGTCAGAATGTTTCGCAGCTGTGACAAGGAGGAGTGTACCTCCTCATGAAGAACCCATTCAAATTCCATTTGCTGAAAGTGCAACAAAAATTTTGAATGAATGATACTTGAAAACAGAATGGATCCAAATTAATTTCATCATTTAAAATTGTCTGCCACAGAAATGCAATAATGTGAAATGAAGAATCATAACCTTAACATTAATAATTTCAAGTCACAATTTGACCAAACAGTGGCTAATTCTGATTAATTTAATGGCAAATATAGCCCTTATCTCAAAAGGCAACAGTCAATAAGAATGTGCGATTAGATAAATATTAGATAAAGGCGAATTACTTACGAGATTGTGAGCCTCCTCCTTCTCGCAGTCAGCCATTTTTTCCAGCGTCTCCATCTATTTGCAGCTGCGCACCCACGCACTTGTCAATTGACATTCGTTGCAGCTGCAGACAAAAATTGACAGAAATTAACAGAATGGTTTATCATTTGATTCCCAGTGACCTTTGTTAATTAATATCGTAAGTTCAAACCAATAGTATTGTTCGCTCTAGCGAAGAATATTGCTTAAAAATTTGTATATCCAATATGAGTCTAAATAATAATTAGATAATCCATCCAATGATAATGCGAAAATGTATCGAATAATAGAAAAGATTGGAACCAAGAAGACATTGATTAATCATGACTCCGTTGGAAATTTCAGAACGAATAATATTCAATGCCATGAAAACAAAGTTAAACCCCAATAAGCACATAACAAAAGTTACGTACAATGTGACAATTTCCTATTTTGAGATAGAATTAATGCCTTTGCTCAGTTTTGAATCACTTACCTTGCATTTTGTCGAAAGAAAAAGGATAAATCAATAATAAAACACGACAAGACTGTATAATTCAAATTAAAATAATCCTTCAATTGATTTAATTACCTGACATAATTGGCAGTTATATACGTTTATTTGGAATTGTTTAGAGAAAAATTTCTGTGAAGACGCCCGAGTACACTAAGTATAATATTGGTTCTTATAGTATATTTTCTCAGATAAGCTTGCCTGATCATCAATTAAGTGATACCGACTTTCTGAAAAATAACGCGGAGGCGATATACGGTGTAACAGAGAGATAAAGCTATGAGAATGAGATTGGTGGCTATATCAATTTCATATCTAGCACTGCTCACACAAGAACGCCATTCTTAATAAATTGAGATTCAAGTGATCATCAATCACCTATAGTTGTATTACCAGTGCACAGGTGCCAAAAGGTATACAGTGAAAGCGTTTGAAACATTAGACATCGCGAATAAATAAAATCTGCATGGCCCTAACACAAAACAAAATGCTGCAAATCGTCGAGAAATTTCAAGATAATTGTATCACATCACAATTTGATAGTTTGAACTGTGGTTAGCTCATTGCTTACTGTTATACAAGGCTACCATTACGAACCAATTATCATGAAAATATAATCCAAATCATAACTTCAAGCAAATGCCTTGATGCAAGCCTTTAGAATAAATATGAATAAGGATTAGTAGGTGTGTACAACTATCGTGTTTTGCCTTTGCGTTATTAAATAATTAATAAACCTTTGTAGCAAATTATATGATCAATGAGAACTTTAGACCCATGTCATGTTCACAGTAACCAATACTTGTGTCAATTAACAGTAACAACGTGATAATATTCTTACAGAGAGTCTAGGTAAGAAGCATGAGTCTAAGACTGTATTATGACAAGGAACAAAGTATTTCTACAAAAGGGCGAACAGTTTGTGCCAAAATATGAAGAGATCAATCCATTTCAAAAGGTTCCAGCCCTTGGGCATAATGGATTCAAACTGATAGAAAGGGTATAAGTAACCTGTTGTTTTGTAAAGATATTCAATGTAAAATATAATCAACCCTATATTGTTTCTTTGTAGTGTGGCAATTTTGCAATATCTTTATCTGGAATTCAAGGTAGATGACCATATCATCCAAAAATCAAGCAAGGATTTATGAGTACCTTGAATGAAAGCATAATAATACTAGGTTGTATTGGTCAAGGTATTTCTTAGTAAATCTTTGTAGAACTATATGACGATTATTGGAGATATCAAAATTATTAAGCAATACGGAGAGAACTTGATTTTGTATCCTTTTACAGTTATGACACCAATGCTCAAAGGGAAGCCTGCAAAAACTAAATATTTAGAGAGTTTGAGTTTATATGATTGAATGTCTAGATTAGCTGGAACATATTAGGTTGAAGAACAATCCATTCCTCACAGGTGACAAGATTAGCATCGTTGACATTATAGGTGCCTGCGAGGTTGAACAACCAAGTACATCTTATATTCTTGATCATATTATAATATGATGCTATATCTTCAGTATTGTTTTTGCAATTTTAGGAATGGCATGTTTTAATCCTCGCGAAGGTAGGAGACATTTCACTGCATGGCTTGAAAGATTAGCTCAAGAGACAAGTCCTCATTATGATGAAGCAGATAAATACGTTCATCAGATTGCAAACAAGTAGTTAGAAATACCACCACACAGCTTTACCACGCTTTAATTGAATAGTAATTATGAGATGATGCTGTTTAGCTATAATTTTTCGATAATTGTTTTTAAGTTATCGTTATACAGTCTGTTATGCGTGCAATTAAAACGGAGCCATTATTTGCGTATTTTGCCTTTTCTTTACAATCAACTATTGTCATCCTATGTAATCTCTTACTGTAAATGGTTTGAAGCAAACTGTAAATTACTATTACTATTGTTCATGTACCAATTTTTCAAATTTTAGAGTTTTACTTGTAAATTTTTACAAGTAACCGATGTTTTAAACTGTTTTCATACTATTTGCTCTTCACTATCTTAAACAGATGTCAAGAAAATGATATATGATAATGTAAATGCGCATGTACACTACAATAATTTAATACAGTTTAATACACATCACATTGATGATTATAATTAACATTAATATCACTCGCATTGCCTTATACCTTATATTATTCCATCACTAACATAAAAGTCATAGATAGATTCTTGAAGCCATAAACACAAGCCTCTTGTGAATCGCGGGATCAATTTTTATCGCGCAAATTTCATTCCGATGAACAAATATACATAGATAGTATATTTTTATATGGAAAATCATTGTTTTTGTACTTCAACCTCACACTTTACATGAAAATTTTGTACGTTTATTCGTCAGAGTAGAGGTATACAATACGAAAGTGCATGTACATCATGCGCGCAAGTGTGGTACACACGCACATGCACACACATGTAGGTACCAGGGCTGCTATGTAGCATTTATTTTTTTTACACTGACATTAAGTTTTGTATACGGCTATTTGGAAAAATACAGAGTATGGTCTAATCTAACCTGACAGTAAAATGATATAATTGTGATTTCTTATACTACGTACTTATTTCACTGGTCCCGCAAACTTTCAGTATAACAGAGAGACATCGAAATTGACACTCTATACGCCTAGAAGAAAATAGGTGAGCAGTAGGCAAAACATTTGTAGGGACAATATGCGTCAAACGGAAATAGACTGGACAAAAATAACTCATAAAGGCCGAAAAAAAATGTCGGTCTTCCAACTTCAGTTTTATATAAAACTATAATTTGTGCGATATCATTTTTTTAATACCGAGCGATAGTACACTGTGCAGCAAATACCTCCGAAAAATTAATTAACAGTGATACTTAAAATAAGAAATATAAAAATAGAGAATAAAAAAATCCTAACTAAACAGAGGGGTCACGTTTAAGATAAAGATTTCGTTACACAGTTGCAGTTTCGGAGGAAAAACTTGTTTTCTCCAACCGTGTCAATAATATCTCAGCTTTTCTGATAAATACTTTTTTTTTTTTTTTGTTAATTTTCACCTTTGGAATGAAAAATTGAGCAAAGCATCACAATAGTTTGAATAGTTGGTAATCAGTCGATAGATCCAAAACCTAAACAAGTAAGATCAAAGGATGTATGATTGTTTAACGCAATTATAAATATGGTGCTGACGAACGTCAGACTATTAAGTATCTGGAAATAACACTTAACATTAATCACACAGAAGACCCTGTTTCATCTAAATTTTATAGCATACGATCCCGTATTACTTAACACTTCGAGTCCACTCAGGGTTATTTTGAACCCAAAGTTGCATTGGCTCTTTATAGCTCGCTAGAAAGATGTCCACTCGAAAGGTTAAGAAATACCTATTGTCACATTGATCGAAAGTATCGGTCTCACTTCGAGGCATCGATAATATATTTTAATGCTTATGTAATTATCTCTTACCATTAGTTAGAACAAACAGCAAAGTATCATTTTTGTACCACACACTGCAACACTTATTTATATGATAGGAAGTATCGCAGTATGTTCTGCACATAAGGTGAACATCGCTACAATTTTACATATACTCGATATACACACTTACATGTATCACATTCATCACCGGTACAATAAGTTTTAAACTTACAGATTAACTTTCACTCACAAAGGTATTCAGGTCAACTTTTTTAGTTTCGGCATTTTCTTCGGACACTTTTGACCGTGCAAAAGCCAATGTTGTTCTTGACAGCTCTCGTTACAATAGAATGTCAACTCGCATCCCAAACACTTGAACATAGATCCTGTCGAGCCACAGTTTGCGCATTTCAATGTACTCAGGATGCTCGGATTGTGCGTTACTTTGGCAAGATGCGGTGTCCCGCAATTTCTCTCCATGCCCATTACTTCCTTCGTCAGGTTCATAAGAAGAGATTTCGAGAACATCGAAGTGTCTATCGCAACCGATTGTTCCTTTGTCGATGAAAAATTCGGATCAGAAGTATTGCCTGTTTGGTGAAGCTGACTATTTCGGTTTTCTAGTAAAACCGCCTCGTAGTTTCGTTTCATCTGCGAGGCTGCCATGCAATTGTTAAGCTGGTTTATTTCATTGTTGGAAAATCGAGACAGGCTACTCTGGCCTGCCAACCAATAAGAATTTTCATTAGGTTGTTGCATTGCTGGAGCGTTGGGAATTCGAAACTGCTCGTTCTGGGTGCTGGCATGTAGGACAGTTCGGTTTGGTCCAATACTTTGACCAATAGTAGTTGGCTGCACGTATTCTGAATTGATGTTCTGATTCGGAAAAGCTGCCGCTAGGATTTGGTGCTTCATCATCTCTGTCGTGAATTGTTCGGTTCCTTGAAGGTTTGCGAGTCCCTCTGTATTTTGTCCTAAACGACTATTCAGCGAGTCGACCATAACCTGATGTGGATTCATAGATCCTGGGTGTAGATGAGGATACGTAAATGTTCGGTAACCATAGAGTGGATGATAGCCGAACGTAGTTCCGTAAGGGTAGCCCTGTATCAGAGAAATGAGGGAGTGGATCTATACTGTGCTCAAGAGAAAGACATACCTTCGAATCAGATACGTTGCTTTGAATTCAATGGATTGAAACTTACGATAAAGTTATTTTGATAAAGCTGCGCCGCTCCAGTTGGGCGAAATTCTTGTTGAAGTGCAATCGAATTTTCTTCCCACCTATTGTTTTTCCAATGTCCATTGATGTTGTTCAATTTGATGCTCATGGGCATGTCCACGGCAGTAGCAGTCATCTTATACATATCCGATCCAGGAACCTAACAAACGATGCATTCATGCTTTTATGAATATTTTCATTACCCCATACGTAATAGAAAGACTCAAGATAACATCGTAAGGGGGTTCTTTAAGATATAAGGTAGGGATGGGGGTGGGGGCAGAGAAAGAGAAAAGAAAAAACTGAAAAGGAATCGCAACATTATACTCATCTCAAAGTGACCTTGCTACGTTCCTAACTACGCTTTCGCCCTAATGGAACAATATTAACAGGATTCAACTGAAATCCAATTAGATTTGCAACCCTTTGCTCTCCCACGTTACAGGGTTACAGTTAATGCTCCCTTAATGCAAAAGTCTGTATAAGATAATCAAAGCGGATTTGACTAGTGACTATTACGCGAGATCAGACGGGGTTTGGTGTTAAGGACGCAGATATCGCTTTAGTTTGCTTACTCAGCGTCCCTCGATAAGAGAGCTTCTTCTTTCACCATTTCATCCATTGTAGCACTTGTGGACAGCCTAGCGAAATCATACACTACAAAGGTGCAGGCGAAAATCTACGGTCTTACATACAGGTCTTGCAACTCGCGCAATTTTCAGCGGTTTCAGTCGTCTTAAAGAAGCAGGGTGCATTTTAACTTTTAGTCACAGGCGTCGCTGTGATCGAATGACCCCTTTATCTATCTCACTCTATAGTCAGCTGTGGCGGTGGTCGGACCTCAGGCACTGACAGATTTCGATTCACGAAGTTTCAGGCACCGACCAACCGTTTCACCTGACCTTTCTAGCATTCAATTGTGTTTTACGTGAAATAAATTTCTTGTAGAGGACATATACAGAGTTATTCAGTAGAAACGTACCACCTGAAGTTAGGGCGCCCATTTGAGTCCTATGGTAAATCCATATTCAGGTGGTGCGTTTGGGCTGAACAATCTGGATATTCGAAAGACAGATTAGTCAAAGTTACGAATGGATGGGACACGCGCAAATAGCTCGACAGTTCAGCGATGGCACTATCACCGCTGATCAGCTGAACTGTCAGTTTCAAAGGTTTCCCAACGATCAGTGCCGCAGGTCCAACTGTATAAGTATGGCAGTTCGTGGAAAACTGATCTGATAGGTGAATCGGAGCCCAAAAGGATCTACTTACCCGAAAATTTGAGGGGTCCTCCAAGGTTGTGATGGCGGGTGCGATGACATCCGACGATAACTTCGTGGGGATGCTGGACGGCGTTTTGACTGCTGATTTCGTCGGAATTTGTTGTTGCGACATTTGAGCTATCCAGTTTCCAAGAGTTGGAAAATTTTCGCTCATTATTTGACGGTTAGTACGCTGACTGGAGTCTTTTTGAGAAGTATCGCTTTTTGACCTCTTCGTCGATCTAAGATTTCATTTTTTTTCATATTACCTTTCGAAATGTGCATTGCCATGAGCGAAATCTTAAACAAAAATTTGTAAAAAAAAGAGGATGCTGCTTACCGAAGTTTACCGGTGTCCATCTTCGTGTTCAATTGCTGAGCTCGATAGGACTGACCAGTAGGCTTACCGGGAACTGACGCTCTGCTACGATGAGATGCTGATCGAATCGTGGGCCCTACAGCTGCGGAAGCTTGAGTAATTTTCGAGGGAATCTTAAAAAGTATAATGAAAAAAGAAATAGTTAAGTCAGCGAAAATGAGCCTTCGGGATTGCTCACCTGTTGAGGCAAAGCTGTTCTCGCTAAGACGGAACAATCCTGAGGGCCAAAGTTCTGATAAAACGTTCCGTTTCCATTGAAGTTGGATTTCGCAGGAAGGATTGTAGTAACATTGTTATTAATCTGCATATTTCCTGCGTCGGCGGGTCTTCCGTATTCGATGGGCTGTGCGGTGTTGTCGAAGGTCGCGCTCGTCCTAGCAAACGAGCCGGACGGAACAGAGTTTGCCTGAGCAGAATTCGCTTCGACGAGTCCGTTTGCTTTGCGGTAAACGTTTGCGCCTCCAGGATTTTCAATCTGGATGCAGCTGCCGGGTAGGTTACACGATGTCTGCAAACTCGTTACGTTGCCCGGGTAGCGCAAGGCTGCGCTTTGTTCTCCATGCATGTTTCCTATACTCTTTCCCGTCAATGCCCGAGTCTCGCCGACCGCCACTGACCTTTGGCTGGAAAAGTGGCTCTCGCTCGCAGCCTGCTGTGGATTCTTCGCGTAGTTCGGGATGCTCTCTACGAGCGTCATCAGAGTGTTCAAAGCGCGTAATCGTTCCGTGTCCGACAACGGACCGTCCTTTCTCGTGTTAGCTAAACAAGAAGGGACCACTGTGTCTCTTCTCAAGGGTTCTGAAATTCTTTTCGCATCTAACGAGGGACACGCTGAAGTGCTGGGCGATTGTCTAGTAGTAGATTTGCTCGCTGAATCGTAGATTTCAGACACCAAAGACGGTCCAGCTCTTGGCAGGACCGGCGGACTGTTCCGCAAGTGGGAGGAAGATCCGCGAGAATAATTGAAGGGTAAGGTGGGGGAGAGTTTTGGTGGCTCGGGAGAGGGCGGATCTTTCTGCGGAATGCACTGAACCTTATTTTCCTCCTTGTTCTTTGTGTCCATCTCACCGGAGAGCTTGTTCAGTTGCTTGGTCAAGTTCTCGGCTTGTTTTTCAGTACAGTTGATCATCTGTTGAACTCTGCCCCGCTGGAAACCGTCAGGTGGTACTGATTCCATTTGCTTTTTCAATAGCCCCGTTTGCATCTTCAGTTCCTGCAACATGATTCGAAGTTTAGTTCGACGATACTGCAATTGCTCCTCGACGCTTCTCCGTACGATTGACGCTGAGTTAGTTGACGAATTTTTAAAATCGTAAAGCTGCTCGTGCTCCTGTTCCTCGTCCTGTTCCATGCAACAACTTTCATCCGAAGACATTGTCTCGCGATGCTCAGTAGCTTCTTCTCGTACGTACGTTCTTTTTGGACCGGTACGTTTCTGATATCTAGCAGCAGCTTCCAACTGTTGCTGGAGCAATTCCTGCATTTTATTCTCCTCGAATCGTCTGCACTTATCTTTGATTACTCTTTCAGAATTTTCATCTCCAGGCTCCTGCTTTCCCTGCTCATTCAATCTCTCTAACTCGTTCACGCCCTCCTGCGTCCTCGGGGATACCGATAAGGTTGACCTGCTCTCCAGGGAGATGCTATCCAAGAGCAGATCTTCCACGTAAACTGAAGGACCAGCGTCGTTGCTCTCTTTCGAGTCTCCTTCGGGAAGAAGAGATTCGTTCCTCGAAGCTCTAATATTGTCCTTTACACTAAAATCATCGGATACGATTTCTCGATCGTTTGTCTTACGAGTCGCTGATTGAACTTTTACTTTTTCTTTATGTTCTTCGAAATCGAATTCGAGTAGCGGCATGGAAGGTAAGTTGCATGCGTTCTCCTCGTGACTCTTTGTTATTGGCATTTTCGAGTCCAAGGGTTTTCGCATTACCGTCGCTTTTGCAGAGATCTTGTGCCTCTTAGCTACAGAGATTGGTACGGAAGCCGGACACTTCGGGATGACTTGCGCTACGTCGTAATGTTTCTGCTGTTTTTGCATTGAAATCAATTCTCTGTTATTATTTCTTTCTTGGGTAATCGCGCTCAATATTTCATCTTCAATTGAATTCTCAACTGTCGCATTTGTTTGGACTCGCGACAATGAGCTTTCATCGGCACGGAAGGCCAAGTTCAATTTTCCACAGTCGCCGGATTTATCTTCTACGTTGGTGCTACTCTGCGAAACCACCGTGAGGTCAACTTGACTGACGTTTCCTTCAAGAATGTGAAGCGTCGCGGATGAAAAATCAATCTCCAATCCGGGGAATGTAATATCCGTGAACGGCGATGTCGGAGCAGGTGTCCTACCTGACACTATTCTATAGTTTGTCATTTCCTCTGCTTTTTTTTCCTTCGCCAAACGATCCGCCTTCTCGGTATTTCCCTGCAAGACCTTCCTAAGTTTCAACGGAGGTATCTTTTCATTATTCGAATAGTTCACAATCAAGGAATCATTGGCATCGTTCGAATTCCGATTATCACTTCTATTCCCCTTGATTACATTTTCACCTATGTTCCGATGCTCCAGAGATTCCTTCTCTTTCTTCCTATTGATTTTGAAGAGTTCACCTTCAAGGTTGCCAATCTTCCTCTTCACCTGACCGTCCAATCCGTCCGAAAAGTTGTCTGTTATAATGACGTCGCTGTCGCTCTCGTTTTGAAATTCAAATAAATGTTGCTTCTCGGCACTCTGATCTCTCGACGAGCAAATCACATTTGGTTCGCCCTCCGATCCGTTGACACGATCGTTGGACTTTGGCGGAATCATGTGCGCCAGCATCAGAATAGGAGAATCCTTGGGAAGCTTGACCATCGCGTTCCTCGTGGGTATTGGCATCGGTGGTACCGGTCTTAAAGGCAGCGAGCGATTCGGTTGCACCGGGATGCACGTCGACCTGTCTCGTAGCGCCGTCGCGAGGCTGCTGTTCAGTCGACCAGAGTCTATCATCTTGAGAGACTCATAGGGAAATAATCCTGTAACAGAAAAAGTACAACTACATCGGGGATAGGGAGACGCACAAGACTAATGTTCCAAGTCGAACAGATCATTAATGATTTGGCTCAAAGGTCGAAGGATCTGAAATGTTTCTCTTGGAAACCTGCTTACATGAAACCTCCTTCTCTCTTGGAGAAGTACTGGGCAGACCTTTCTGCGAACTTGTGACAATGTCTTCTTCGTTCTTGCCAACTTGAAATTTGCGATTTAACGGGCCACGAATGTCCTCGTGACTGATCCGTCCGACCCTACCTTCGTCCGATCCTACCGTACGAACAATCGACTTCGGAGATTCCACGAGGGTCGCTAGCACTTTCCAGTCTTCAGTTTTAACACTGCGTTTCGTAGACGCGACTACGTTCTTCGGATGAATCTTATTCTTAGGAATTCTTTTACAAGATTCCGTCAGTTCCAATTCTTCGAAAAACCTGTCAAACTCTGGCATGCAACTTGACGATTCTTTGTTTGCAATGAAATGCTTAATGTCGATGCTAATGGGCAAACCTGATCGATTTGCAAAGTGAGGGGCCTGCGCGACGCCAAAAGAGGGAAGATCTTGTTCAACAGGTGCGAGGAGCTGCTCGGATGTTTTGCCTGGAAGGGAGCAGGTAATATCTGAATGAACATCCGCCGCAACGATTTCTTCTACAGACTTTTCATGAACTTTGCTCAAATCGAAGGAAGTCCGCACTTTGGCGCAGTCACGGGCGTCCTCGACTTTCAATGTATCATCGTCGCACTCGGCGTCCTTTTTATCGTACGATCTAAAAGGCACCGCCTCATCCTGAACAGGATTATCGGATGTTGCACTAATCGAAGCGGCAGAGTCGATACGGAAAATATCTTTTGCGAAAGTGCTGTTTGCACATTCGGATCCTCCAATGGCGACAGTCGTCTTTCTCTTCTTCTCCTCATCTCTCTTATGCTTTCTCGCTCCTTCGTATCGAACCACATCTCTCTGTATACTGCTTTCATTTACTTCGTCTTTCGCTGACATCCTTTCTTTAAGGAATCTTCCTTCAGACTCGATTCTCTCAATATCTTTGACATCCCTGCGTCTCGAGATAGTCTCCTCAGAGGCAGCCCCTTTCATCAAAGCGCCGGTCTTAGCTTTGCAGACAAAAAACTGTCTTGCAGTTCTGGAATTGCTGGATTCGCTCTTGGGTAGTTTATCTCGCGTTATGATAACGGCAGGAGAAAGGATCCTTGTGAAAACACGTGACATCGCCTGTTGTTCTGTGTATTTTAAGACGGACTTTCTATCGTTTCGGCTCTGCGTGTCTTTCTCCTTGCATGCCTTGTGTGAAGTTTCTTTGGAAGCTACTGTCCCAGAATACTCAGCCATCGATTCCTGCCACTTTCGCAAAAGATAGTACGGAGGTGTCCAGGTTGGGTCCTGCGATTTCGTCGTTCTTCCTTTATCTTTTCCTCTTGAGTTCTTCTGTCTGCTTCGTATCTTAACACTTTGGGCCACGCGCAAATTTCGATCGTTCGGACTGACGTCGTTCATCTTCGGTAGGTATAGGCCTCTTCCGTTTATCGGTATCTACAAAATTTATACGTAACCTGGCGATTGACAAGAAAATGTAAGGTTTTTAGAAACGGTATCAAGATAAACGCAATAAAGAGGACTCTTGATTCTCGGGACGAATAAATAAGAAGTACGGGCACGTTGGCGTTCAAAGAATTCTCGAAAGCTTATCCTTTCTTCGGAATCGTGAATGTCAATATTGGCACTCGGCTTTTGTTCGTGAACTATATTTTTATGAAAGAGGGGCTTTTGTCTCTTTTCACGGGCGATATGATCCCTGGAAAACCTTGAACCAGTCATTCGCGGAAAACAATTTCTAAAATTATCAAGTTATTAAGATCCGAGAGAGCCAGACGAACGAGATACGCGGCGGTTGCTTCACCCGTCGTTACGCCATACGTATAAAACTTGCCCTTCCTCCCAGACAATTGTCAATCTCACAACGAAATGATAATTTTATTCGTGACTGAAAGATTCTTGCACTGTCAGAGATAGAGCGAGACGTCTGTTGCTACGTCAACGATATTCTTCCACAGACAGATTAATTAATGGGCCGACTATTCGCCAAACATCGAAATCGAAAGCCATGATAGAAGAGGCGAACAATACCGGTGAAGAGTGCGAAGGACATTTGAATTCCGCGAACAACGAAGAGCGCGAAAACGGCCGTTCGAAATCTTGGACGGTTATGCACGCGCACGCGGAGGCACGAAACGCGTCTCAAATAATCGGTCGCCTCATGGAAATGGTGAAAACTACCTCCGCAAGCACCACCGACAGATTGCCTGACGTCGAGTGAAAGCGTCTAGCTGGCGTAGCTTCGAAGGAGAATTTCTGGTCCGTTATTCTTTTTTTAAGGACTCGCGCATACGAGTCGCCGAAGGTGTGTGGCTGTTGCTATGGCTGGCCGAGCAAAGGGTGCACATGGGCGGTGAGGGTGGACTTGGGGGATAGGAAAGGTTTTTACGGTAACGCGACGAACAGTATCGACTGGAGAGATATGGATCGTGGCCAATTGTCTGACGTGGCCGTGCGGTGCAGGCTATAAGAAGCTTCGTGTATGTACAAAGTGCAGCTGGCCGCGACGCTCCTCGGGCTGCTCGAAACGATGCCTAGTTCCATTAGTCGCAGCAATTTGCTGCATTTATTTATAACGTTTCCTCGAAAGTGGCATACAAATTTAAAAAATGCTACTTTACGTTATATTCTCTCATTCTCCTGTCCTTCCCGCCTTAACTATTCTACCAGAGAATGCTAGAGATCATGCGTCTCCCTCGTGACGACTAGAAGCTTCATACGTTTTTTAAGTGAAACGCTCGAGTCGAAACTACGTAACTTCACAGAAAAGTATATTTGTTAAATCGAGAGTCAAAAGTCGAGATTATTCGAAGGCTCTGAAAGTGATGTAAATTTTATGCGAATGAAGGATGCCTATAAATGCCTAGCGGCGGCAGCCTGGAACTGACATGCGTTCACCTGAACGGATTTTAAGCGTCAAGGCAGATAGATTTGAACAGCATCCGAGCGGGAGAGCACGTAGCTTTGGGAAAGTTTGCGCCACTCCTCTCTGCAATTCGATATTTACAGTCGCAAATGAAGCAGTCGGTTACTCAGTATTACTGCCAAGTTTATCTCTCGGTAGGCTACACATTGAGATAGAATAGAGTCTCGTTCTCGGCAGATCTAATTGCTGTTTCCTGGAAACACGTAATTAGCTTTCGTTTCTAACTTCTCTAATGACATGTCGCTCTTGGCATTAGAGGAGAGCAAAGTACGAAATGATGAAACAGGCCGAAATGGTGGGCGAGTCGACTGGTCGAAGATCGCGTCTCTAAACGGATCCTCCGATCACCTTTGATGGATAGACATATTATAAGACTGTGGTACCTGTCTTCCCTTGAAATAAGCTAACATCGTTCCTTGCCATAGCAACAGTCCCATTCGATAATTTCCATTTACCCGGGAAAACTCCCTGGGAATCTATATACATAACGAGGAAGCATGTAACCAACAGCACCTACTGTGGCTGCCAGTCATCGAGCCTGATTTCATTAGCGAGAAACAACCCGACGATCGATATACCGTCGTATAGCATGTGTACTCCTCCTCCGTTATGACTTTACGTTCAAGCTTCTACGTAGAATAACGTATGTAGAACAAGTTGTTGCTACCTTCTGAGACTTCTCCTTCGTCTTTCTCCTTGGACCTTCTTCGTCGGCTTCGGTAGATCTCACGAAACATTAGCTCTCAGACCTTTGCGACTCGAGGAACATTTAATCCGCAGGAGAATCTCTATATCACTGGACACCTCGCGCGTTTACAAGGATACAACAACGGCTTCTTTCGAAAATGAAGAAACGTCTTTTGTCAAAGTGGCGGAGAGCCTCTCGCAAAGGGTCCACGAAAAGAGGAACTAACTGCAGCAAAACAATGCAGCAGAACACATAACTGCGATAACATTAAGCGGCGGGAAAGGAGAAACAGAATGCGCGCACATCGAGCCACGAGCAGAGCTCAAAATTCCCGGGATTGCAAGCTCTCACTGACGTGCATCCCCCTTACAAGGGAGGAATCGGGAAATGCAGGCCTTGTAATTGGCTAACCGGATGCTCTATTCGGCGGCGCACGCGGAATAAACTTTATCGCAACTCAACGGTAGAGGGGATGCAAACTGTTAGGTTACGCGACGTCGATCATCCGTCCCCTCTCGTCTCCACTTAACCCTGTCATCCGTCCATCCGACAATTTCTTTTCTCTTGTCTCTTATCGCCTGCTGACTTCCACCTTTTTCGGCCACGCACGGCACGCATCTTCCTTCCTCTCTTCTTCGCGCTACGCCGTGTCAGACACGTGTCTCTTCCTGACGTGTGAAGCCCATGCACAGCGCGTGCGATAACAATGCGAAATGCGAATACCCTCGCGTCTTCTAGACTAATCGGCAACTAATCATCTACCAACGAGAAAACCTATTTGTGTCAACGGTTTGTCCAATCAAGCGACCCTTCGTTAATTTGCAATTAACGAAGGTATAAGCGGCAAACATAAACGATCGCGAATTAACAACGGCGAAGCGGAAGTCCTTTCCTCGTGGTGACGCACCAAGTGAATGTCGACCTATTGGAATCTTCGTTCGGTCCCGAAAACGGCTCCTCCGATCGACGTCACTGCGGTCACTCGGTTCGCGAGCGTCGCGGTGCTCGGTGTCGAACTGTGTTACTTTCACGTAGAGTTCGAGGAACGAGATATCCTCCCTCCTCCCTCCTCCCTCCTCTCGGAATGGTGGATCCATTATTTACCATCCCCACTTGTCGATTTTTCTCTCTTTATCGTTTTACGTTATATCGAGACGCAGTCACGTGAATAAGTGAGGAATGGCGGGCCATTAGGGGCGTCGCGCATTACTCCTCCTTCCAGCCTTCTCCTTTTCTACCATGCTCCCTCGCTCCCTCGCTCCCTCGCTCCCTCCCTGACCAGCGCAATTCTACCTACAACCAACCCCAACCTTCTTATGACTCAAACTTGAACCTTGAGGCACATCGCAGGAAGCACGAGTCTTCTTTCGAGAAAGTTGCTTTAAACGTGAAGATCGTCAGTACCGTGGAATTTTGCTGGGTTTTAACGCGAGGAGATTCGTTATTGAAGATTGGCAGGAGTTCGTAAGTACCCGTTACAATTATTTTACTGTCGTGAAAATATTCGAGTTTTATTGTTAAATAGCCGATAATTGACGCAATATTGAGAACAAATCTTTATCAGTAGTATGCCTACTGAATTGCAAGATCAAACCTACCAATTACCAAACAACGACTAAAGTCACGTGAATTTCGACTTCCTTTGCACCCTTTTGATCTTCGTATTGGATGATTGAATCGTTTGATGTCTTGCGCAATTGCATGCTTTTACTTGCGTATGTTTCGTAAATATTAATGGACCCTCTATCTATTGTGACACACGGAGGATCGACTGATCTTACTATTGGACTCCGAGGCTTGTTTATCAAGCAAGTTCTCTGCTGTATGAAAAACGAGAAAAAATGCGTTAGGAACATTAATCGGCATGAGGGAATTATTGTAGTTTTGGTGTTGACTCAATGTTAGTTTAATAACAATTTAAATAGAACCTAACCATTCTTTTGACTAAACTGTTGGGAAACGTGATGCCGTTTTTACGCCAACCATAAACGGAATTTACTTTTGTGATCCGACTCAGAATTCATGTCCAAATATACGTATTATGTTATGATATGCTTTTTATTTGCTAGTATACAGCAATTTGTTTAACACACAAATATATATTTTATAATATACACTGTCTCTTGTACACGATACTGTTTTATGCACTCAAGTCACTCAGTTCACCTCAAGTTTGCCTATATTTATCTTTCGCTAAAATATAGAAATACATGTGTTTTATGTTGCCGATGACGACAAGGGCGACAACTTGTCTCTGAAATGTATCTAGCTCAATCGATATATCGCATTAAAATAAATAAAATACGGTATTTCAATATAATAAATGCAATGGAAGCAGCTAATAAATATATTTGCATATAGAAAAGGGCTACTTTTTTGGTGAACTAGCGAAGCTCAACCCTCACTTTTTACGCAAATGCTTCTCTATTCTTCATTTCTCACTTAGCTGACGAGGGATAACTTTGTCTTATCTATTTCTGTACTGTATATACAGTACATAAAGAATCCGTTTGTGGCTATTGAATTATGAGAACCTTAATGTCATTCGAGTGAATGCAAAGTAGAAAAAGATACGAAATTTCATTCTTTTAACTACGCGAGGGTCGAGCAATAAATTCGACTGGGTTAATTGAGACTGACTTTATCCCAACAACAAAGGAAAAAAGAATACTCAGAATTTTGCTGAAGATGACTCACCTACCGCACACATTCCACGCAGCCTCTCCTACATCCGATCTTTTTATCCTCGCGCTCAACAGTTAATACTCGATAAATTCACCGGAACAAATTTCTTTTTTAGGAATACACGCTGTCGTTGCTAACACATTTACTGTCTTATCGTTGTCTTCGTTTAGATCCATCACTAGCAATTTAAACAATACGAACGCGAATCGTGTCACGTTAGAAAAAAGAACGATATATCCAGTGCACACTCTCAAAAAGAGAAGACGATGCTTGACGATTGATTGATTGGCGATTTATCCTTCATGCACGAGACGTGACGCGTTCGACTAGTAGTAAGACTGGACGCGACACGTTTTGCTCTGACGATATGTTTGCTCACAGCGCACCCTTACTGCACACTCTTAGCACCAATCCCTTTTGCGTCGGTCTTACACTTTTTCATTTTTACTTCACTGAGAAGACAAGGCGTTTTATGCACAAGCGAATCCAATGTAGAAGCGTCCTACACTTTCTTTTCGAAGATGCTTCACAAAAACATAAGAAAACCTATCTATACTAAGAAAGATTATTGCAGAGTACACAGACGCATTGAAAGGCATTGTTATTTGTTGAAAAAGTAGAAAATTCGAGCACGCGGAAGAAAACCGATGCGAGAAGCGCAACGCTTGACACGCGAGTGTTGGCGCGTTCGCGAACAGCGCGCCACGTGGTGGTCAAAGGTCGAGATAGATAAAGCAAGAACGTGCTTGCACGACTTCGTTCTTAATATCAATATTCTATAGCGAATGTATCAACTGAATGTAAATGCCGGCTCTGACGTTGAGATCGGCGGAGGCACGTAACCCGCGTATCGCACAACAACGTAAAACGCATAAATGGGCAATGCTGCTCAACTCACTGCTGCGTTATAGATATGATAACGAATTCATAATTTATGACGATGCGCGATTACGCAAGCCAATCTCTGCGTTGCACTTATCGAGTTGCATTGACGAATCTGTGGTCACATTTACCTTGGTGTGGAAGTCTTATAATTTTGACAGACTTTTTGTTCGTAGACACGATAGTTTCAGCCCCGCTGCCGAGAGAGGGTAGCGCTTGGAAGAGAACAAAGAAACTTCAGAGAATGTTTGACTAAACAGCATATAATTTAGCCTGCACACGAACCTTAGATAGCGTCAGCCGACTGGCTGCTGCAGTATACAGCCCTTCGATTTATCATCGCTGCGTCATCGCTCGAGAACAGTAACACTATTATTCGAGACGTTAGATATTATTTTAAGGCTCTGTAAACAATTGGCGGCTCGACGATCAGAGCATCCAGTTACGTGCGAATTGTTCAGTCCTTTATTTTCGTTAGCTTTCTCATATGATCATTTTACTATAAAAAAAGGGTATCTTTCTGTGGAATTCAGTTGAAAGAGAATAGAACATTTCACAGTGTACACTTGTAAAGTACCGTAAAACTATTCGAAGTGCACGGACCAGGGTCCTACTTTCGAGTAATAAATTCTTCAAGCCGTAACATAGCACAGCAGAAAGGAAGCTTGTTTTCAAAGAAAAAAGGCTCTAATCCTATACCTACTCTAGGTAGGACCCTGCTGACGTAGTGCAATATACCGTTACGATTACAAAACATAAAAAACGCTGGTCCAAAGCCATCTTTCTCAGGACAGTGACACAAACGTAGGTCAAAATGTCAGGCTTGATTATTTAACGCGTCCCGGACTTTTGGCCTGAGCATGCAGATTCGTACGGTTTGAATGGCACTGGACTTGCACGAATTTTGTGTTATCCGTCACGCAACCATTTATCATAATTGTCATCCTACTTCTCAAAGCTACCAATGTATACTTCTGAAGTGCGGTTCGCTTCACCTATGTTTCTTTTATTATAGCTATAATACCCCCTTGTAACATGTGAAGCAGCAACGGACGAATGCCGTGAGGCCACGTACCACTTGGACTGGCTTTCTACGAGAACCCTCCAACCCGTCTTCTATACCCTGACTGTATATTCTACACAGTATACATCCTGTACATATTATACGCTACGTCGCGAGTATATTCTTTGTGGCATGCGCACTGCATAACATACATACATATTCGCACTGCACGCATTACATGTAATGTATCACGTATTACAATTATTAATATTAATTACAAGTCATGTATCACGTGTAATCTGCGGTTTCCTCGTTTCTCAAGTTTTTATTCGCCTTTATACACCTATCTTTACTCTCGTCTCTTATATCTCGATATATCCCTCATCTCGGTATATCTCGAATAGTTTCAGAGTTATTAGTACCACCATTTAAAATATACAGTAATAGAAGAGTGAGTATCGATCCGTATCGTTTCGTTACTCAATTCGTATCGAACAAACAAAAGGAATATACATGCTGTTGCATTACGCAGGCTAAATAGCCGTCAGGTATCGAGGGCGACGCATGCTCGACTAAAAAGACTAAAGTTTTTGCAGTTGGTCGAACTCCGTGAATGCGGCAGACTCGGCACATAAACGAAGAAATGTTTAATTGAGATCTCGAAAAAAAAAATGTCAAAAACCGTAGAACCTGTTGTTATCGTGCGAAAGGAGATTCGGATTCCTCCTGGCTCGAAATACTCTCCTGGTGTTTACACGATTCACGGGCCGCAAAAGTGCAATCATACGCTACGAAAGCGGCCTATCCACCTCAAGAAATGTACAGCTTACGACGATAAAGAGGTAAGGCGTGTATTCTATAGACGTCAGTGAAAATTGTGTGTCTTTTTTAGTATAAATTATTCTCTGTGCACTTGTATAATTATAGGTAGTGAAGGTTCAGGAACGCAACGGTGTGCGAAAATATGTCGTTCCATCGCAAGAACCTTCCGTCTATCCGAAAATCATGAGTAAGAAGGAATTCGAGTATTTTGAGAAACAGGGCTACAACGTACCGAAGGAGGAACTGGACAAAGCGATAGCGGCGGCTGAGAAAGAGAAGGAACGCTTGACGAAGGAAAGCATGGCGCGTAAAGAGGCAATGCGAAAGATGGATATGAAAAGGGGACCCAAAGGAGCAAAGTTAGACGAGATTGAGGCAGAAGCGCGCAAGAGGACTATACATTTACTGGAGAGAGCTTATAATTTGAAGATCGAGCAGGAGGAGGAAATCCAGAAGTGCAACAGGTTAATCCTGGAGACGAAGTGTCGTGCCATCAGAGACGCTCAGGTAATTCTCAATGTTCCCTCGCGATACTCATCTCATCCTCAGTTTCTCTTCCCTCTTGCTCGCGGCGCACTGGTCAACTCTCTCTCCCCTTTCTACTTCCTTCCCACTAGATCGCAGAGAAGAAGCTCATCGAGAAGGAACTCGCCGACGAGGAGAAGCGACTGAACGAGATGATGGAGAATGAGAGGAGATGGGCAATCAAGTTGGAAGAAGAGAAAGAAAAGGAGGAAGCTGCAAAGCGAAGTCAATTTGCAAAAGTCTTGAAGGAACAGATTGAGGAGAACGAAGGTCAGAGGATCTTGGATTTCGAGAGGAAACAGGAGGAAAGTCGACTGATTAACCTCAAGAATATAGCTTGGCAACAAGAGGAGATGATGAAACTGCAGAATAAGGAGGCGGAGAACAGTCGGATCAGGCAGGAGCTAGCTGAAGGGAACGAGCAACTGAAGCACTTCAAGGACATGGAACGAGAAGAGAGCAGGATAATCGAATTGAGGTAGATGTCACGTCTGGAATCCATGCGTTTCTTACAATCAGTGGAAACGCTGATTATCTGTTAGCTCTATATTTAGTAGTTCTGACAGAGATTTATGGACTTTTAGGATACAAGAGTTTCAGAGAGAGAAACAGGAGAGGGAAAGAAAGATCGCCGAAGAACAGAGATTGGCAACTTTGCGAAAAGAGCGCGAGAAAGAGACGGTCGCTGCTCAGGCGCAGCAAGCTCAGGATCTTCAGGTGCCTGGCAAATTATGTTTCTTCGCCATTTTTATTATTTCTCCGATCGCAGTTCCTAGTGATTCATTTGGCACATGATCATACAGATGGTTCTACCAAATGAATCAGCAACTGTTGTTGATCAACCTCTCCCCACACGTAGAGCCTGACGTTTTATAACTCTCAGCAGAGCAGGCCGTTGTAAATTGTTTAATTAAACGCTTTTAACGAGTGTCTGCTTACGTCTTTCTGACCAGTCGGTTTATCTTCTAAGAATGACCTAGTAGAAAATAAATACGTATATCGCGTTCACGTTACCTTACGTCCTTATTAAATAATGCCTCTTATTTAATACCCAGATTCTTTTAATTAGAAATAAATATATCACGTTATGAAATTCTGTACTTCATATTTTCATATATGTACAGGCGCAGATCGATGAGCTGAACGCAGCGCGGGTGCAGGAGCAAGTGGAACGAGAATGGAGGCAAAAGGAAAAAGAGGAAGCTCTAAAAAGAGCCGAAACGCAGAAAACACTGAAGCTGGCCAGGGAAGAGCAAATTCATAACAAGAGGATTATGCAGGCAATGGAAATAGAACAGGAGAGGCGGGAATTCGCTAGAATTCTCAAGGTTCAAAAGGAGGCCTTCTGCTCGGAGATGAAGGAACGCGAGAAAAAAGAAAAGGAGGCTGCGAAGCATCGAAGCGAGATTCTTAGACAGGTGCGTGATTCTGCTGATTTCCTTTCTCAAACTGGTTCACGGTTTAATATCTGGTCTATCTGCACCCTAATGACTCTCATTTGCTATTCAGGTCAATCAAAAGGAACGCGAGCGCATTCTGGCAAGACAAAAAATGCTCGAGGAAGGTGCAATGATACGGGAGGAAGCTGAGATAAGAAAGAAGAAATTGCGTGAGGCCATGGAGCGTAAATGTCGAGAAATGAGTGACAATAAGGTTCCAAAAATATATATAGATGAGGTTAGGCGCATGATGGAGGAGATTCAATAATGTTCACGTAAGGATATACAAAGGGATGGCTCGAATTCGGTTTAAAAACTTTATTGAAATTCTTTATTATATAAATAACCGCAGGTAGGTATCGCTATGCGAAAATAAGAGCTATCTCATAAAGACAGGTACCGAAAATCTGTCGCTTCACTTTCTGTTTCCTAGTCATAAAAATCATTATTTTTCACTTCCATAACATAACAACATTCGGATCGCGTTCCACTATTTCTTCGATTTGTGCCACCGATTGACCGATACAACAGCAAATTTCGTCCAAGTTGAATGCGCCAGTGAAGTATTTGTAGATTGGATTGGTCCGGCCCTCTTCGGTTGAATTACTCGGTATGTGTATTGGGTACTGTCAACGAGAGAGCAGAAGAAAGACTAATGTCGTTAGATAGAAATTACGATTGAGCGAAATTCTGTTGATCCAAAGATTAAACGTACCTTGTAAATTCTACGTATGAGACCTTCTATTAGACCAAACTGTACTAATCTTCTCTCATTAATTCGCAAATTTTGAGGATTTAACCTCTGACAGAGGTCACGCATACTACTGCCATGCGTCATACTGGCGTACATGCGATATATGTCCCTGAGATAAGCTGGCTGTCTTACTGTGAGATAAAAGAGAGAAAACGGAAATGGACAAATTGCATCAACGGTGATTTTAATACATGTAATACTCACAAGATTTTGATGCGTACGCTACGCATTTATCTTGTAATTCAACATCTTCGGCCAGCTTTTTCAGTTTTGGCGTGGTGGCATATACGTTACTGTATTGAAATATAGGGATAAGGGTAACCACACCATAGTATCTATAAATAATAGAATAATAACGCTTTGTCTCCTGTCTCTTTGATCAGATATCTATTGTTGGTAACATACACAAGATTTTGTACACAACTTTTGACTAAATTGTTTTCCACATCAGCCTCTGCTGCAATACGTGCCACATGATTAAAACCATCTATATATGGCAAGACTTGCTGAGTCGTCAAATCCCACTGATCACTTTGAAACGCTTCGCGCCCTTCCAAAAATATTGGTACCTGATGGTCTAAAATTGGTTTTGGTTCTGGAGCTTGTCTAACAACCTTTAAGTGTGATGTCATTGTACCTTCTGCGAACAAATGAATCTATGATTGTTTCAATATGCCTGCTTGGGTGAAAATGCTTTTACTCATGTCGTACCTGTCAATGTACACATCTTATGCATGTTTAAATCTAGCATGACATGTTGTAACATTTGGGCAAGTCTTGTTTTATCTCCTGATGCTGATAAAAAACAATTTTCTATTTCCAGTGCTATCTATTAAAGTGATGTAACATACTTTCAATATGACAATTAAAAATATACATAAGATATGTATAAAAGTAAGTGAATGTTTTACCAAGAATTCAGACATTTTTTTAACTACTGGTTCATAGTGAACAGTTCGTGCTTCTGCATCGCATACAAAACAGAGATTGAAATAAAAGGCATTTCTTGCATACTTTTTATTATCAATTCTAACAGGAAATCCTAAAATTTTAAACTCCTTCAGTGTTCTGTAAACAAAATTTGTAAGACTTATTCACAGGGATGTTTTAATAGCAAGTAGTTATTTACTAAAAAATGTATAATGCACGTACACAGTGATCGTGCTCCTTTGGAGTTGTGCTTTGGGAATAATATATACACTAACGTTATCAAAGATGTCCTTAGAAACAAAATTATCCGGTACCTAGAATGGGAAGAAATATTAGTTTGTGCTTGGACAGATGTCAGCTGATCTTCTTAACCTCAAACTATGCTACCGACCTGACAAGTGATTTTCGGTCCAGCGATATGATGAAACTCGGAAAAAAATATACATCGAATAGGTCCTTCTTGACCCCTTTCGTCCGCGCATTCCGCGCTTGTTGCCATTTCTACTTTTAGTCATTAAAACGCATCAAGAAACTACAGAGAGCGGACATTTTTCCAAACAGGTTGACATCTCGACATATACTTAGCATGGACTACGCATCCCTACCAGAGGAACTGAACGTTACGAACGAAGAGAGAGCTGTATCTCCGTTTCAACAGAGATGAATGGGGAGATGCACAACACCACACAACACTACGGTTTTAGGCGATACCAAAGTCATGGCGCTAAATCGTAGCGGCGAGTCTGGAAGTAGGATTTTTTGA